AGAATCCTGAAAAGCATTCTTCGGATACAGTCAAGTATAGACTCATTCTAATACTCCTATCAGTAGTTACTATGGATGGAATCTATAAGCCCATCTCCTATGACACTCTATCACTTCTCTGAATGGAATCTTTAAGCCCATTCAAGCAATACAATCAACCAACAAGTTTTACTTCGTGCACATGCGAGTGCAAATTTCTGGGCACTTAGGTGTTCAATCCTCTACCACCTTCAGATCTCGAATGGCGAGCATGCCAATCTAACTCTTCAAGTTTAAGAAGATTGAATAGGGGCAGCTGTTGTACCCCAAAATTTTCCCTCCCATTTCAAGGTATCTTCTCACGCTCCTAAGGTTTCTTAAGTACTCAAAACTACTCAAGAATTGATCTGATGAACCCTCCTCCTAAGTAGTGGTCTACAACCAGGGTTTTGGTTTTCTCATAGTAAATTGAGCTTCTAATGTCTCAAATGAGTTTCATGGTTCCTCATATGCTTCAAAGAATCCTCATGTCAAGTTTCAAGCCATACATCACAAATTTGCTCAGTCAATTAGCTAGATGATTAAAAATCAACTATATTGGGTAAAAAGTTAATTGTGGTCAACTTACTGTCAAACCTCAAGATTTTTGGTCAACATCAAGATTTTGGACTCACATCCATCATTTTATCAAGGGTTGATCATGATTCATCAAGAAAAATCAAGATTTATCAAAAGTCAAAAGTTACTAAATTAGGGGTTTCTTAGGGAGAAGTCAACAGAACTTTGACTAAGCATAACTTTCACATACTTCATCAGATTTTTCTCAACCAAAGCTCATTTTAAAGCAAATTCAATTCTCTACAAATTTTTCTATCTAAGCTCAAGTCTAAAAATGCTTCAGTTGAAATATATGAGCCAAAACATTACAGGTCATTTTAAAAGTCAACAAAAAGATGCTTTTTTGTCAAAGCAATTTACATCAAGATAAATCTTCAAATGGAAAAATTACCAACACGAAAGTTATAGGGGATATCTTGAGCTTTCCAAAAAGTCAAAGATCACCGTCATATGACAAAAATTGAGCAAGTTAAGAGTTGCACAAGTTGGGTAACTTTTTGAAATTGCATGAAAGCTCAATTAAAAAAATTTGGGCATTTGGACTAATGGGCCTAATTTTTGAAGTTCAAACGTGCTCGTGACATGTTAAGGGACCCCCAAAACAATTCACATATTTTTTATGATTTTTATTTCCTTTATTTGAATTATTATTCATTTAAATGCAAATTAAATCAAATAAATAGTAAGTGGAAGTATAAGGCTTAGAAGGCTTCTGTTTCAAATATTTTGGACGCCAAAGGACATGGTGTAAATCGTGTGAAATCATTGGTAGAGCAAATGTTCATGGTTGGAAAGACTTAAACTTATTTTTCAAACAAAATAAAATATATAATTACAAGAGGTCCAAGCCCATTCTTCTTGACCAAATATCTTCCTATATATATGCTCATTATCTTCAGACAAAGGACGCGAAATAAATAAACTCTACAATAAACTCTCTCAAAAATATCAAAATTTGTCAAAACTAGGGCAAAATTGAAATCATTGTTCCAGCACTTCTCAAAGCAAACCAACCGTTCCAATCAATCCCTGAGGTATGATAGGGTACGACTTGATCGTTCTTGATGATCAAAAGTTCATAAAACAAGCATTCCAAGCATGATCGGTTGACATATTTTTATGAATTTCGTGTTTTAAATTCTATAATGTTTTGATGTGAACTAATGCTTTCATTGTGTTGCTGAGATGTAACAATACAAGATTGAACCACCGCATGAGTCCCATAATTCCAGGATGATGGATCATCATGATTGAACCGATTTTATTTATTTTCTTTATATATATGTGTACAGGATAATTCAGCAAAAAACCAAGGCCACCATTGAACTCGCAAGGGTCAATTTTAGGGGTAGGGTCTCTTTTAGATAATTAACGCTTTTATTTCACAGGTACAAGAAAGAAACTTGCCGGAGAAGACGACCGGAGCTAGGGTTATGGCACCTCTCCGGACCATCTATTTTTTTTCATATTTATTTGTTTTAGTCATACCGGATGTAGCAGCCACTCCAGTGGCAAAGACGCGTGTGCTAAGGCATTGATCTATAAGATCGTGGGTTCGATCCCTGCCTTTTGTATCTTTTTGTTATTTTTATAATTAACATGCATGTTTACAATATTTTATGCAGCGCTCATCCTCCTAACATCAACTAGCGCCTGGCTCAGTGGCAAGCAAGGCAAGGCAGAAGGCAGACGGACGTAGGTTCACCACCCACCCCATGCAGTTTTAACCTTCTTCTTTTCTAACCTATTTTCTTAGATTTCTAACCCTAATTTTTTTCCTTTTTCTTAAATATTTTCTTAATTACTCATTAACTAATTTAATTCTTTTTTTAAAAACCCTAAAAAATTAGGTTTAGTTTTTTTTCTAATCAATAATCAATTGTGACTTTTATAATTTACTAATTAATTAGGTTAATTAGTATTTTTCTTAAATAATAAAGTTAATTATACTTTAGGTTTTTTTATTAATTAAAATTAATTAGACTTAGGTTTTTTAAATTAACATCAAATTAATTTCATAAAAAATCACATTTAAACTGAAACAACCGGCTGAAAATCATCAAACAATGAAGTCGCCATCGAACATCTTTTATCCCACATGAAGGGAAAGGTAAACATCCAGAAAACCTAAGAAAGGAGAAGTCACAGTCTTATGACCGAGAGATCGGGTAAGGGAGTCTGTTATGCGAAGAGAAGGTATTAGCACCCCCACACGCCCGTAGTACTCTACGGTATCCACTCTTGTTGTCTATCTTATGGGTGTGTCTAAACTATGCTTACTGTTTACTCTTGAGAAATAATGCATGCAAAGGAAAGGAGAAAAAAATGTAGGGAAAATAAAGTTGTACTCGATTGGGCCCTACCCCAATGCTTACGTATCCTTTTTGAAGAATCAGAGTTACTGTAGTTCGGCTAACATGTTTTTGTTTATTTTGTGTTTTTAATGGAACATTGTTAATTCTACCTTCTTCCGCAGCTCGACCTTTGGAGACTCACGCGTTGGCACATAAGTAAATTAATCATGTCCATACTGAAGATGGTTTCGAGTTACGCCCTTGAGGCAAGATGCCACATTTGATTGGTTTGTGTTTTTGTTACCTTGAAAAAGGGTTTAGGTACGATTAGCATGTTTTACGATTTTCTAAGAAAAAGATTTCAGTTTTAGATGCAAGGGTGCAAAAGGGGAAGAAAAGAGTCTATGGGAGACTAGCCTATTTCTAACCTAATGTTATCATACAATGGTAGTCCTAAGGTTTGGATTAACAAAAAGGAAACGTCTACCTAATGTTAGCACGCATGGCTTGCAACCTAAGGTCTAACTTGCATCCGAAGGGAACAAGCACATCCTAAGGGAACATGGTATGTACAAGGATAAAGAAAACAAGCTCGAAAGAGCACATACATAAAAGAGTAAAGGAAATAAGCGAAATGCTTTAGTCAATGGGGAGTGTATCACTCGAGACAAACAAGCGGGAGTGAGATGAAAAAACAAAATGTGATGTCCAAAGAGACTGAACACCTAACCAAGATATATGAGATTGAGGTAGGCGACAGAAGGCAATATGAACAATCAAGGAGTATCAGCATCGGCCAATGCAAACACCTGACATAGCGTGGGGGTTTGATTGCGGAACCCTTCCCCACTTGACGACTCGATAACAAGAGCAGGCACAACTCCGAAGCTTCGTGGTGCGTTACGAGCTAAGGATGAAACATACGAAATTGCGGGGGTTGATTGATAACCCTTCCTGCTCGCCTCCTTTTGAGGACTTATCATTTATACATATGCGGGCATAAATATAAACACACCTGCAAAACCTACTCAAAAGCGGTGTTTTAAACAAATCACACACATGTAGAAAACAGAATGTATACCATGCGGAATTTCCCTAAACGGGTCTTTAAATAAACCAGAGGGGTTCATGACATGATCAGTAACGGAGACCCCTGCCATACATATCTACCCTACTTCTCATGGTATCATACATCAGTAAAGACCTACTTCTCGTGATTTCTAAAAAAGCGGTAAAGAAATGCGATAAAGTGTGGAGGAGTACAAAGGTAGTAGCGGCGACTACCACAAGCAAGCAAATCGTCAAGAGCGTACAAAAGCAATGGAGAAGTAGGGAGTACACGTCGAGCACACTTCACTAAGAAACTAACAAAGTCAGAGATGATATCCAACTAAGATAAAGGCAAACGCGTGTTGCGAATGTAACGCATAATCAAAAGTTCATGCACAAAACTCATAAAATATCACATGTATCAGGACCACATGTAACATAATATAAATTTCTCAGGACGATGAGAAATAAGGCATGTTGCATCAGAAGCAAGCATAATTCGTACGCCTCGATCATATGAAAACTTATTATGTCACATGATCGAAAGCATAAAAATGTACCTTGCACAATGAACAAACTTGTCAAAAAAAACATGGCAAAGCGGCATGAAAATATGGATAAAAACCAAAAGGACAAAGATGTTTTTTACTAGTTTTTAAGTAAGGAAAATTCTAAATATCTAAGGAATTAATTTCTAAAATTTATATTAAAATCTACTATTTTATTACCATTTTGTCATAACAAAAATCTAAAAACAAAAAAAAAGGGTCCAAAATCTTAACAAGGCAAGGAGTATCAGGGGGTGAAAATTGAATTCCAGTGGGTGTGGTAGAAGCCAGGGCGTTAGGCCCAGCAATAATAAGGTCTGGAAATTTTTTGTTCACAAACCAAATATCTAAATAATTGGCCCTTGGGCCACGGACAAGGGTGGATCGGTCCAATAACAACAAGGTCCACCAGATTTTCAGTATTTTGTTTCAATAATAATAAAATACAAAAAATTAAAAGGGAAAGAAAATGATATTGTGACGTTTTGGGGTGTTAGGGTTTATTATGTGGCTATTCAGCTTCTCCATAAAACCTAACCCTATTCTTCCTTCTTCCATCAACAGTACCACAGTTGCTTCTTCTCCGATCAATATCATCAAAACCCCATCGTCGTCTCTTAATCTCCTTCTCAACCTCCATCGTCTCACTCAATTTCGTTCTCTGAACCACTATCTCGAATAAACGTTTAAATCAGCATAAGAGCTTCAATCGAAGACGAAATCGGAACGATCGACCCATACATCTAGTTACGGTGTTGAAAGATTGAAGGCTCGTGTACACGAAATAAACATCGTCTAGCAAGAATCAATAAACGTAAATTTCGATCAAGAAATTCAGAGCTTACTGGTCGACACGGTGTTGAAATCAAATAGAAACCCGGAGATTTAGCCAATATTCAAGGTAATTACGCTTCTGAACTTCTATGTTTCTCTTTACTTTCTTAGGTACATGATTATGTTTTTATGCGATACCGTGATGTCGATGCAATAGTTGGGGTGATGGTCGATGATAAAGTGTTATTGTTGATTGTTGCTCTATTGTATACAGAGGAACGATGCGAAGAAGATGATGATTACTTGAAGATCAAAGGTGAGCGTGTGAGGTGAATGATGAAGACGAGTTGCTACACAGTTTTCAGAGGGAGTATGAGACTAAATGTGATTGTGGCGATTTTATCAAGATTCTTGAAGAATGATGCAGAAGGTTGAAGAAGGTGATGAAGAACGATGATGGAGATTTCAGAGAGAGGGAGCAGAGATTAGCAAGGGTCTGATTATGGAGAGAAAACCGAGAGACCAAAGAATGAGGATGGAGGTTTAGGATGGAAGAGAGAGAGAGAGAGAGAGAGAGAGAGAGAGAGAGAGAGAGAGAGCAGAAGAAGTCAATCGAAAGGTTCAAAGGTGAATCTCTTCTCTGGTTTTTTGGTTATGGTAATCGTCTCCTCTTCCCCTTTCTTTTTCTTTTATGTTATATCTGTTGAATTCTTCTTCTCTCCTCTTATGTTATTCTGTTGAATTCTTCTATTAGAATCTGTTAGGGAGTGAAATTCTATTATGTTATTTTTGTTGGGACTGTTCTGTTAACAGTTAGTTATAGTTTTTGGCTTCTACTAGAAGCGGTTAGAGGTTGTTAGAGGTAGTAAAAAGATAAGAGGGAATTATTGGAGTGTTAACTGTTTTGGTTATTTTTGCTGAAAGTTAGATATGGTATTAGGGAGTTAAGAATTTTGTTATTTAGTTGTTATTTAGTTGGGAGTGAGGTGGTTAATAAATCGAGGTTGAGATTGAGAAGGGTTTAATGGTTAGTTACAGGTTGCTATTTAGAGGTTAAAAGCTGTTAGAGAAAACAGTTACGGGTTTGGAAGTTGGAATTTTGTAAAGTTAGTTACAATTAGAAGGTCGTTTTAGTTGTTAGAAGGTTAGCTGCAATTTTGTTATGGCCTGTTAGAGGCATTTAGGAAATCTGTTTTCTATTATAGGGTTGGAATTCGGTTGGCAAGAGTTTGAGGGGTTATGGACAGGGCTGTTAGTTTCTGTATATTTTTTGTTACTTTTCCTTCTGAAATCGTGAGTCTCCTTCTGAGTTTTTGAATATCTGGTGATAGAAACTGCGTTATTCTGTTGTTAACTGTTTTTGTGTGTTTCATTATTGTATTGAAAATGTAGGTGGTCGAAGTTATTGTGAAGCAAAATGTGTGCCATGGTGAAGGATGAAAATTCCGCAATGTGTTGTTGTTGCAGAAGCAGAACATTGCAGATTGTGCTTTGCAAATTGATGAGAAGGTTGTTATGATAACATTGCAATGTTGATAAGATGATTGAAGAATATTGAGTGTTGCGGTTGAAGCAGAGAGGATGCAGAAGGAAGTGTTGGTGAAGGGAAGAGAGAGTTTGTTAGATGTTTTCTGCAATTTTTGAAGAATAATTGTGAGATTAGAAAGAAAGGTGAAGATGGAGGTTATGGTATAGGGATTAGAACATGAGTAGTCTTGGAGAAAATGAGGATGGAAGCATAAAGCTTTTAGGATAGGTTTTTGTTTTGTGTAAATTTCCCTTTGTAATATACTTTGTGATGTAAAAGAGAAACTTGAAGCATAATGACCATGTAATCTTACAAATTCAATGATAAATTCTAATCCAAAGCAAACTTCTCTTTCAAATTGTGCGCTTCTTCTTCTGATTTCATATTGTATACAGAATAATGATGATTTTTGGTAATGAATAAGGGAATTGGAAATTGCTTGAAATCTAAGTGAAATTTGATGAATTTGTATGCTTGTAATTAAAGGAACATTGATGAAATCTAGATGGTATGGTTGAATCTCCTTGAAATAATATTAAATGAAGATTACCTTCTCGGACTCCATGAAAATGCTTATGAACTTTGCCTAGCATTTGAACGAAACTACGAATAATGTTGTCCAATTAATTCTCATATGCACTTTATCATTCCGCTTGAATTTTGAACAAGTATCATATAAGATGATAGCCAACAAGAAAATTGATAAGGGTTTTAGCCAAAGTTTCGGCAATGTCCACTCCAATATTGCATAGTCCAATAGTACACCATGTCCTTCTCATATCTAATTCTCTTTAAAAATCCAAGTATAGAGAAATAAACTCTACTCCATGATCCAAGAATGCGTTAATGAAAATAAGCCTTGCATGAAGTCGAATAAGAAGTCCGTAGTGACCATATAATTAAAATCCGATTCAAGACCAGGAAGACTTCATTAGATCAAAACTTGTATGAAATACGCACCTCAAACCATGTGAACCCTAACTCTATCTATAACCTTGATCCCAAGCCAAATTTATTGATTAATGATGCATGATGCGTAAAATGACCTAATGGAAGTTATATACATGAGGATAATGTGAGATGCATAAGCCAGATAAAATGTAAAATGGTGGGACAAATTTGGGGTATTACATCTGCCCCTATTTAATCTTCTTAAACCTAAAAGTACGATTGGCGCGTGCCTTTCAGACGTTCGAGGTAGAAGATGATTAAATACCAATGCCAAAAATTTGTTCTGAAAGAAAGTGTGAGTGTTTATTTATTTTTGTGGTATCTGCTGGGGAAAGGATTTTTTTGTTTTCTTGGTGAGAAGGGTTTATGGATGAACCTGGAAGGTGATTGCTCGTAACACGGCAATGGTGCTGAAACAGGGTTTAGAAACCTACACGAAGAGTGCTTGAAAACTGACACAATGAGTGCTTAGAAGTTGATGATGACGAGTGTTAAGAAATTAACACGACAAGTGTTTAAAAATTGACACGACAAGTGTTGGTAGATGACACGACGAGCGTCTGAAAATAATATGATGATTGTTTAGAGATTGATACGACGAGTGTTGGTAGGCAGCATGATGTCAATACAAGAACAAAGAAGACTTGTAACATGGTGTGATACCAATACAAGGAAGAGATCGAACTTGTAACGTAGCATGATTCCAATACAAGGAAGAGATTGGACTTGTAACATAGAGTGATGATAATACCAGGAAAGTATACCTCAGACGGGTGTTTGAATCGATACAGGCGAGTATCGAAAGAAGATATAGACGATTATCAAGAAAATGTTAAACACGGACGAGTGTTTGAATTAATACGGACGGGTATCAAGGATAGGTTTAAACATGGACGAGTTTTTGGGTAACTGACACTGATAAGTGTTCAGGAGTTGACACAAACGATTGTCAAGGAAAGGTTAAACACGGACGAGTCTTTGAATCAATATGGACGAATATTGAAAGAAGATACAGACGAGTATCAAGAAAAGGTTAAACACGGACAAGTGTTTGAATTAACACGGACGGGTATTGAAAGAAGATACGGACGAGTATTAAGGAAAGGTTAAACACGGACGAGTGTTTGAATCAATACGAACAGGTATTGAAATAAGATACAGGCGAGTATCGGGGAAAGGTTAAACACGGACGAGTGTTAGAATCAATACTGACGAGTATTGAAAGAAGATACAGACGAGTATCAAGGAAATGTTAAACACGGACGAATGTTTGAATCAATACATATGAGTATTGAAAGAAGATACATACGAGTATCAAGGAAAGGTTAAAAACTGATGAGTTTTTGAATCGATACGGGAGAGTATCGAAAGAAGATATGGACGAGTATCAAGGAGGGGTTTAAACACAGACAAGTTTGTTCAGGAGTTGACATTGACGAGTGCTTAGGAAACTGATACAGATGATTGTTTGGAGACTGAATTGTTTGTCATAAGGGAACTGGCTACCAGACGAAAACTGGGTTTCGTATGCCAAGGTGTATGGATTTTACTGGGAACTCAGGGTATAAGGTACTGGCACCGTTAGTTGGGCATTGTAAAGGTGAAGGTCATCAGTTGGGGATTGGGAGAGATGTTGTCTTGTGGGGATGTATTGTTGTCCTTGAATGATTCAGGTCTTTTATGTAAGGTACCTGATCTAGCTTATGCTTCGTATGCATGTTTTGAATTTCTTTTAACGCAAATATCCATTCTGATGGATCCGCTACGCGCTTTTAAAGATGCAATGTTATGTAATGATAACTATATGTAAATGCAAAGGAATAGACTTCATGGAGATAAGCGAAGGCTCATTGGGAACTGTTTCTCATCACCGGGGATACCAATACACATCAGCGCCGGAAACCTGTGGTACCAAATATTACTGGGGATACTTGTAAGAATTTGCACTGAGGAGCTCATGATACCGAAGATTATTGATGACTCCAGTGAAGATTGAATTGCTGACGGAGCAAATTTTCAGGTACGCCACTAAATTCTGAATTGTGTTGTTGGGGAAGAGAAAATATGTCCTGACTTCCCTACATCATGAACCGCTGAGGGGATGGTAGAACTCAATATGCCGAGGAATGGGTATTGAACACCATGTGAATCTCTCTAGATACATGCCCCAAGTTTACACCACACTGGGGAATTACCTCTTGAATCATTTGGGGATAAAAGATGGACATGGATGCTCGTGAATGCCCCGATTTAACTCTGCAAATTCCCCGGTTTACTCCACTGGGGATGTCTCGGTTCAGCCCTGTAAATTTGGTTTGAAGTTGTTTGTAGCAGATGAAGGCGGCTTTGTGTGCTGGCCAGGTCAGGGTGACCGTTATAAATTGTTACCTGCAAAGAAAAACAACACTTGGAATGCATACGACACTCCCTCATGGTTATATATCTATGTAAAGTCAAGTTTTATATCAGCTTGTGGATTTGTATTCCCCATGTTTCTAATGTAGTGTTTAATAGCGAATAAAACACATTCTGCATAAAAAAACATTTTATGATAGTAAAAGACAACTTTTTGATGAAAATAAACTTTATTGATTGGAATGTGAATAGGCATTTGTACAAGGATGCAACTCATATATGAGGTAGTTGCGAAAAAGAAAAGTAAAATACAACAGGTACGAATGGAAATGAGAGATGCTCGAATTTCCATTAAAACTGGATTTGCTACAGTTCCCATATCCTCAGTAGTCTCAATGCCTTGCCTCTGAAGAGTAGCAGTTGGACCAATCAATTCACTGTCAAGGTTCTATAGATGTGCATGTGTTATTCGTGAAGAGAATTCAGACTGCAACATCTCGCTTATGATCCCTAACTTTTGTTTGGACCACCCTTTCGGGTTTTTGATCCAACGGGACACCCATTTTTGCCTAAGCCTCCCTTTCGGGTTTTCCACTTAGCAAGTTATTATCTTTTTCATTTTATCCCTAATTTTTCCTGGACTTTTCATGTCCACCAGGATGCCCATTTTTGCCTAAGTTGCCCTTTCGGGTTTTAGACTTAGCGGGTCTCTTTATGCATAGTATTTTTTGACTGAGTCTGAATTGATTGGGAGTGGAACTTCTTCCCCATCCATGTCTGTCAGGATTAGAGCACCTCCTGAAAAGGCTCTTTTCATGATATATGGTCCCTCGTAATTGGGAGTCCATTTTCCCCTTGGATCGGAATGGCTTTGCACAATAACCTTTCTCAAGACCAAATCACTAGGATAAAACTTCCGAGGATGGATCTTTTTGTCGAATTCTCTTTTCATCTTTTGTTGGTACAACTAGCCATGACAGATGGCTGCCAGGCGCTTTTTGTCAATCAGATTGAGTTGGTCAAATCTTCTCTGGACCCACTTCGCCTCATCAAGCTTGGTTTCCATCAGAACCCTCAACAAAGGAATCTCTATTTCGATAGGAAGCACTGCATTTGTACCATAAACAAGAGAAAATGGAGTTGCCCCTGTTGAAGTATGCACAGACGTTCTGTAGCCATGCAGAGAAAAAGGCAACATTTCATGCCAATATTTGTATGTTATGACCATCTTCTGGACAATATTCTTTATGTTTTTGTTAGCAGCTTCAACTGCACCGTTCATCTTTGGTCGATACGGCGATGAATAGTGATGTTTAATTTTGAGTTATTCACATAACTTCTTCATCATGTTATTGTTAAGATTAGAACCATTGTCGGTGATGATTCTGTGAGGAATTCCGTAACGGCGTATGATTTCCTTCCTGATGAAGTTGGTAACGACCTGTTTGGTTACATTCTTGTAAGAAGTTGCTTCCACCCATTTGGTGAAATAATCAATATCCACTAGAATGAACCTAATACCATTCGAAGCACTTGGTTCAATCCTTCCAATCATGTCAACTCCCCACATTGCGAACGGCCATGGGGAAGTCATAACATTCAAAGGAGTTGGAGGAACATGAATTTTGTCTACATACACTTGACATTTGTGGCACAACTTTGCATATACACAACAATCACTCTCCATCGTCTTCCAGAAATACCCTGCACGTAGGATTTTCTTTTCCATAGAATTCCCACTCGAATGAGTCCCGAAATAACCCTCATGGATTTCCTTTATGATCGACTATGCTTCGTGTCTATCCACGCATCTGAGCAGAACCGAGTCATAATTTCTCTTATACGGGACGTCCTCTGATAAGAGGAACTTGGATGCTAACCTTCTAAGCATACGCTTATCACAAATTGTATCATTTTTGGGGTACTCTTGCTTCTCAATGTATCATTTGATGTCGTAATACCACGACTTTCCATCAGACACATCCTTGATCAAGAGATAATGAGCAGGAAAGACATGTGATGGCTCTTTGTAACAGAGGATACGTATGTTAGGCACCTGATTTGGAAAGATCACCGAGAACATTGATGCTAAAGTAGCTAAAGCACCGACCAACTGGTTTTTGTCCCTAGGAATATGTTCAAAGGTGATTTCATCAAAAGCGGGTATTAGCTGCAAGATGTAGTCTTTGTGTGGAATCAAACTAGGGTGCTTCGTCTCTCAATCACCTCGTACTTGATGTATGACCAAAGCGGAGTCTCCAAAGACTTCAAGGATTTTGATTTTGAG